CACACAAACACAAAAGCACTGCTCGCATAAGCGCAATCCTCTTGCTAGGAACCTTGTATTCTCAAGTTTACCAACATCCTGGAAGGCATGCTAATGAATGCCTGTGTGTAGATGGCCACATTTGTTTCCTTGAATCTGTGCAACGCATTGCTTGATTGATACCAATGTCAGCTTAAGGCGGAGCACCAAGTTTCCAGCTCTTAACGGCACACCAGACTTTCTTGACCGAATAAGTGGGCTCGCTGGTGCATGCAGTACCGGCGAACAGCCCGAGGGTTCTCCGCAAACAAGCCCCATCCCAGACTCTATTCCTGCGCTGCGACCTGACACAGGTAGGCAAGGTCCCCTTTAGCTTCCTCTGTTCCTGGATTCCTGGATTGAGGATCAATGCAAACCACTAGGGGCTGATGGTCTGAGTGAGGGCTGGACAACAGATGCAGGCCTCAAGGCACAGGGCTCCCCCAAAGTTCTTTTTTGATAAAATTATGGTTTACTGCATTGTTTACTGCACTGCGAGTAGGTACTTTTGAAGCCTGGCATCGCCACAGGACCAGCTTGCTGTTGTGCTGTGGTTTTTTTTGGCGCCTTCTCCCATGCCAAGTAGCACCATCCGGCTGCTCTGGTGACGAGTCCACAAAATTTATTGCTCCAGTTTTTGCCCTGATTGTGCGTTAGGCTGGCTGACTCAGTGAGGTGCTCCCTGAGAAGAGCACATACCTATAAACAAACAACTGAACAACTGGCACGCCCCATTGAACATGAATCCACAGATTGGCGCGAGTTCCGTGCCCGCCTTGTGGGTCGCACTTCTACAGACAACCTTTCAAGCCAAGCAGAGCCGTCCACCTTAGAATCCCAGGTGACTGAGGCTCCCTTCCTCTTGGTTGTTGCCACGTTTTATATGATTTGATACCAGCATTTTTGCCTCGAGAAGCCGCAAACCAACAACCACATTAAACCACATGAGCAGTCCATGACCTGGCTGCAAGGCAAGTGCCGCTTCTGGCAGAGTTGTTCACATTGCCCATTTGGCAAGATTGGAGTTTGCCAACAGCTCAATGCAGCACGAGTTTTGACGAGCATTTCAAGCCCACATTTTCCTGTAGGCAGGGTAATGGGGTAGCAACTGCTCCAAAGCCACTTGTTCCCTTTCTCCCCCCCTTGCACAAAGGTTGATGGGGAAGGATGAGGGTCCATATGTTTCAGATGGTAGTCGAGGAGGCTTTAAGGGGCAACATGGGCTCTTTTACAGAGGGCAGGTGGTGGAAAAAAGTAATGGACGTCATGCCAATTCTTTGGGGGCAGGACCCCCCTGATCCACCCACCGTTCCCCAACCCCCCATTCCAATGCCCTAATCCAGACAGTCGGCAAGGCGCTACCTGCTCCTCTTTCAATTGTGCATCCATCTGCATACCCAGTGTGACAAAAGGTTGGGTTGCAGCAGAGCTGTGGGGCAAAATTTGACATTTTTAAATTGGGCGGCGGACGCCCAGGCATGCCTGCCCCTCCAGGCGCTCACAACGGGCTTGCAAGTCCACAAACTGCCCTCCTGACTTCACCATAATCTATTGTCAGCATCCAAACAGTTAAGCAGACTGTTGGGTCCTTCCTGGTTGCATGCTGGTTCTTGAGGTTAGACTGTGGTTATGAATGAAGTTTGAAGACTTGAGGCCTGGTGCTCTGCCAGAGGCCTCGCAGCAACTGCAAAGTACAATCCTCCCAGATGTGGGTGGGGCTGTTTGCCCTGCCCGTACCCTTGATCAATCAGCAAACGTTAGCTTTGTTTTTGGCTCTTTCCTGGGCTAGCTGCTGTAGTGTAGGTTTGGGTGCCCATTGATGAGCTTGTCAGGGAACCTTTCCGACCTTTCCTCCACATGAGGCCAACAGCCTGCGTAGACTTGCCTTTTTCCCTTATTGTAATTTACACACGAACTTGAAAAGACAGCCCATGACATCAAGAGCATTTGTAACATCCCTGGTAGGGTCAGCATGTGCCAGGAAGCAACCAACCAAATCCAATCTACCTTCTCATAGGGAAGCTTCTCATGTACTGGTGTGGCTTTACCAGGGAGGATCGTATTGTCAGTGAAAAACAGGATCCCCAACACTTGCATATGTGTAACCCTCGTCCTTTGGAGAGAGGGCTGCTTCCTCTTCCTCGTTCTGGAAGCGCGCTCGAGGATGAAAGGAGATTGGCTATTTCTCGGCTCTCCATGTGCAAAAAGCGACCCGCATCCTTGGGAGAGAAGGCTGCTTCCTTTTTGTTACCATGTTATGGGAGCGCGCTAAAAAGGGAAAGGGGACAGACCACTCCTTGGTCCTTGGACAAGACAAAGAGTGTCCCTCATCCTCAAGTGAGCAGAGAGGGCTGCTTCCATCAGGGTAGTTCAGGGGGCTACAGGAACTTTGGGGACTGCTTGAATGTTGTTTCATAATCTTTCAGGTCTACCCAATCTTTTAAAAACCTTCGGGTTTAGAGTGCCAGGGAAAAAGCCCGGCCAGGGGCTTGCGCCCCATGCCGGGTGTGAGTGAGTGTGAGGTAAATTTGTATCAGTTTTCTTCGGGCACCCAGCAGCGTCTTACCAAAAAGTTTCTTTCAAGTGTGTGTGTGTGTGTGTGTGTGTGTGTGTGTGTGTGTGTGTGTGTGTGTGTGTGTGTGTGTGTGTGTGTGTGTGTGTGTGTGTGTGTGTGTGTGTGTGTGTGTGTGTGTGTGTGTGTGTGTGTGTGTGTGTGTGTGTGCGCGCGCGCGCGCACGCGCGCATCATTGTTCCTTGCAAGGTCCAATTGGTGGGCTAGCAGGGGTCCATCCAGTCCTTCGGTATGGAGCCCTGCCCCATCCTTCTTCATCTTCCGGACCTTCTGTTGGCCTTGGGGGCTGGTCTTTGGGGCTTCCCTGGCTTCCATTTCCTTCTCCTTGTTCTGGGCGCGCGCTCAAAAAGGAAGAAGGAGTGACAATCCTCAGCTTCCTTTCTGTGTGAAAAGGGAAGGGAGAAGGAGTGACAACCACCGGCGTCCTTTCTGTGTGAAAACGGAAGGGAGAAGTAGTGACAATCCCCAGCGTCCTTCCAGTGTGAGAAAAAAGATTTCCTTCTTGTTCTGGGAGCGCACTCAAAAACGGATAAGGGTTTCAATTTTCAGTGTCCTTTGTGTAAAAAGGAAAAGGAGAAGGAGTGTTAATCCTCAGTGTCCTTTGTGTAGAAAGGGAAGGGAGATGGAGTTTATTTCTCAGGGTCTTCCTATGTTAAGACGAAGCATGAGAGGGGAAACGATCCTGAGTGTCAACGTAGCATTCAAATGGAGAAAAAGTGACGAGGATGGGATTCGAACCCACGCTCCGAAGAACTAGTACCTGAAACTAGCGCCTTAGACCGCTCGGCCACCTCGTCTTTCCGAGGCAGTTCTTCATGTGAGGAACTCGCTGGTGGAAAACTGTATGATTTGTATGATTATATGTTCAGCGCCGCGTTCTTGAGGAACATCATCATTTTCTAGCTTTTGCTCCTAGCGAGCTTGAGCCAATTTCTTAGGCTGGGTTTTTTCCAGGGGAGCCTTTTGTTCTGCTTGCTGCTTCCTTGCTCTTGGCTTTCCTGCATCTGCTATGACTGACTCCTTTGGACTGGCTCAGCCACCCTTTTTATGTCATGATATCAGTAGGGTCTGCCTTTGGCTTGGTCCAGTTTGTGGGCAGAAGGTTTCTCTTTTCCCAGCCTCGTAATTTTTACTGCCAGGTTCCTGCTGGGAGTCGCTCATGTAAACACACAAAAAAAAATTGTTGGGTTCTCAGTCTCCACCTGCCGCTTGTTTGAGTGAAGCCTGCTCGAGTTCAGATTTCCTTCCTGCAACTGCTCTCCCGCGTGCATTTGACAGCCTGGTTTAGCCTGTCTTTTTCTTTTGTGGGTCCTCAGCAGGGCTGGTGCCTTTCTTGAGTGGTGTTTCAGCAGCTCTTGTTTTTGCTCTTTCTTAGCACTACCAGGTCCCTGCTGGGGGCCGCTCATGTAATAAGAAATATCATCAGCATCCATCCCGTAGGCCACATCTGCTGGTGGAGGGGTACATCGCTGCTGTCGCATGTCCCTGCAAGAGTGCTACAACAGTAATGCATTTTGATTATCGAATTGTGTGATAATGCTTGTGGAACTGCACGAGCATTATGACGCAATCCAATACACTAAAAATGCAACCCTGTTACAGCACTCTTGCAGCGGTAGTTCCACGTTGTGTGCACTGCGCCCACCAATGCTATCACAAGCGAACAGGCTATAAATCAGCATGTGGTGCATGCCCATGATGGGTGCCCCGGACCTGGACTGGATTCAAATTGTGTTTGTGCACGTAGTTTAGCAGGTGCTCCACATGGGGGCGCTGTTCAATGTACGCGGAGATGGTGGGGGGTAACAGCAAATGAGGTAAAACACCTTTGTCCCTTCCTCCTGTTGTGCAGCACATGCTGATTTATAGATTGTTCGTGTAAAGCGATGCAAGGTGCCAAGCCCCCCCCCAGCTTGTACCAGCTTTATGTGTGGTGCTTGCTTGCCTTCAGGTGCCCAGCTCTTTCAAATTTGCGCCAATGGTGGCCCTAAGTAGTAGATGAGGCACAGAAATTATGCATAACTTCACATTTTGAAAATCCCGTACATAGTAGGGGTGCTGAGATCGGGAGGGTACAAAAAAAGTGATTGACCCCACTGGACCCCAGGTCAATTTTCTGGGTGGGCCCCCCTTGACCCACCCACCACCCCCAAAACCCCCTTTTAGTGCCTCAATGCAAGTAACAAGGGAACCAATCTGCTCCTCCCAATTCATTCTGCATCCATCTGCATGCCTGCATCAATGCATTGAAAGAGTGAGTTGCAGCAGAGATGTGGGCAAAAACTGAGCTGAAGCCACTTGTACATGCCTGTCCTGCCAGGCACCCACAAGTGCCTTGCAACTTGCAATGCAAGTCCTCATGCTGGCATCCCAGCTTCACTCTGCAACAAAACATCATACAATGTCACCATCCTGGAAGTTTGGTTTGTTTTGCCAAATGTTCCCCTCCACACTCCCTGCTGCCGACACCCTCGCACGCATGGCACTGATTCCCAGCCATGCATGTTGACCCCCCCCTTTCACCCAATCTGCACCAAAAGGGTGCCATTCAACAGCTATTTTTGAGCTCAGGAGTTCGATGATATATGAATTCTGTAGATGTGGCCAGGAGGGTAAAAAAGTAGAGGACACCATGCCAAAGTTTCTGGCTCAGACCCCTGACCCACCCACCACCCCCAAAACCCCCTTTCCAGTGCCACAATCCAGACGAAAAGGGTACCAATCTGCTCCCTTTCGAATTTCCCGCATACTAATCGCAATCAAACATTGAATTGGAGCAGAGTTATGGGGCAAAAACTGAGGAATGGACGCCCATGCAAACTGCCCTTCCAGGTACCTACAACTGGCTTGCATGTTCATAAACTGCCCTCCTGACTTCACAAAGCAAGAACAAATTGCACGTTTTCTATGTCATGGAAGTTTGGATTTGTTTGCTGCATGTTTGCCTTCACACCCCCAGCAGCCTACATCCATGCGCATGTGGCACTGACTCTGATACACACACAGAGAGCCCCACTTTTACCTATTTTTCCCAAAGAGGGTGCCAGTCAACAGTTCTCAAGCTGAGGAATCCAATGATGTATTTAAATTCCTGTATCTACAGAAATCTAGTGGCTCAGAAATATTATGGAAGGGGGGTCCCAAAGAGTTGGGACCCCCTCAACCACCCACCACCCACCACCTTCCTTGTATGGACCCATATACTTACCAATAAATAGTTTTCAATCTCAGAATTCCAAATATACAGTTTTTTTTAAGGATAACCCCTTGAAAGTCAACTTACCAATAGATAGCTTTCAATCTCAGAATTCCAGACATGTAGTTTTTTTTAAAGGATAACCCCTTGGAAGTCAAAAGTTATGCTCCCTACAGCCTCCTGATGTGGCCCAGAAAATCCGGAGGGGTGTCCCGAAAGATGGACCCCCCCCAAACCACCCCCCCATTCCCCCCCAACCTCTGATTGGACCCGTAATTATACCAATCGATGGTTTTCGATTCCAGAATTTTACATAATGAAGAATGACTCTTGACGCCCAGAATGATGCTTTCTGAAGCCTCTCACAGAGGACGTAAATTTGACGAATTGGCAATTCAAAGTTAGCCAAAACTCCTTAAAAGTTCAGATGCTAGAATAACTCTATTTCCTCAAATTTGTCAACCATGACCTCTAAAGTGAAGACTTCAGTAACAGTAATGATGATTGATGGACTCTGCGCACAGTGACTGCTGTTCATGTTTCACTAAACACAAAAAAGTCTGAAGCAGAATGACAGAAAACATGCCATAGCTACACGACCAGCTAGAATGGTCCCCCCAACAAATTAATAAAGATTTTCGATTTTAGTTCAAATGGAGGCACGAACCTAATACTTCAATGCGAATGGGTTTGATAGGCTGATGGCTGGAATTGATTTCTCGATTCGAATACACAATTTGAATCCTGCTGCTGTTGCCCCTGCTGCTGCTGGAGAGCTGCTGTGGAGGTTATGCTGATGCTGATGCTGCAGCAAGCTGGGAAGCTGCATGTGAGAACTGGAAGAGCTCTGCTTGAAAGTGGAGTTACATGAGAAAGTGAGCCACAAACGAAGGGAATATACACCCATGAAGAAATGTTTATTCACAACATCAGCACAGCATGCACACACTGGAGCCCCTGCTTGCAACATCAATCGAGCTGTCACCTTGCGGATGCCCCACAGGGTTCTCCTTCACAGGCTGCCCCTTCTTGGATGCCGGCTTGGTCCGCCACTGGGTAGGAAATGCAGGCCTAAGCCATCTAGCTATGGGTTAGAGCTTGAGCTGGGGGCCTGGGAGGCCATTTTCAGCACTTGCCGTTTTCAGCCCCAAAAATAATTAAATTTCAATTCGAACACAGTTCGAAGGCTTGGGAATAATAAATAAAAATTTTCGAATTTTAGCTGTATAGTTAATAAATATTTGAACTGGTCGTGTAGCTAAGGTAGCAGTACCTAGGAGGTAGACAGGCACGCTTTGTTTTAGGAGGATACAGGATGACTTCTGGACCCCAAGACTCCTTTTAAATCCTGGGTCCTTTCGAAGGAGGGTGGGTGGGGAGGGTGGGAAGTTGACTTTCGGGGGACCCCCTTCGGAGATTTTCCGAAGCCACTTCCACAGAAATAATGATGCACCTTTGGATTTCTAAGCTCATGAACTGTCGTATGGCACCCTCACGGTGCGAATTGCGTAAAAGGGGGGGGGGATCTGTGAACATTGCCAAGAGTGAGTGCCGTGCGCAAAATGGTTAGGGCAGCATGGGGCAAGGATGCAGACGTGCAGCAAATCAATTCAAACTTCTAGGGTAGTGCCAATGTTTAATTTGTTTATGTGTTGCATCGTGAAGTCAGGACAATAATTCGTGGACTTGCAAGCCAGTTGTGGGTGCCTGGAAGGGCAGGTGTGCATGGGCATCCACCAGACATTTTCTGCCCCATAACTCTTTCCATCCTCCTGCATCCTCAGAACAAAGGAAAAGTTGGGTTGCTGCAGAGCAGCAGCAAAGAAAACCTTTCTGTTTGAAGAGGGGCAGTGGACGGCGGGGTATGGGGGTGGTGGGTGGGTCTAGGGAGCCCCACCCAAACGATTGTCATACGGTCCATTGCTTCTTGTTTCCCCTAACCCCTCCTGCTAGAATGTTTCTTCTTGCGCACACTTTGGAACAACACAGGGATGTGGCTCCTAGCTACAGATAATGTAAAAGCAACCATGACTCTTTCACATTTTGGAACAGGAAATTCTACATTGCTGAGATCTACAAACAGGCAAAGACTAAAGAATTCGTGCAATGTCGTGTTGGCATACAGGACGGCAAGGATTTGGATAGGATTCATCTTGTTTATGAGAATTTAGGTTTTAGCCTTGACACAGACATGAAGGGAGAGCTGTGATCATCTCATCACTTCTGAGTGACATTGTATTATGCCGAAAGGAGAAGATTTTGGGGTGAAATCATCATTTCCATCAAAATGTAGCGAATAAATATGATTGCAGATTTAGACAGATTTCTTCTTGACTTAGGAAGTTGTAGGATTGATGGGGGGTGGTATTTAGAAATGTCTCCATCCCCTAAATATTATTTGTATATGGTAGTTTATGAAGCGTGCGGCATGCATTCTGTACCCTTAGTTTTACTGTGATGCTATGGGATGAAAGAAGTGGAGGCATACAGTGCAGGCATACACTCCTCCATCAGTGGTCAACCTGTGGTGACTTGAAAATAAAGTAACCTTTTTAGTCAGGTCAGTTTGAATCATGGAAGCAGCACAGCAGTGGTGCCAAC